AATTACATGAAACAAAGGACGCAGGATTTATCCTGGAAGGTGTTTGCTAATTAGAACACTTTTTCTCTTCTGATAATTAATTTAGTATTGTCAGCCAAAGGGAGCATGGTTGTGTAATTTAAGGTTTTTTTTTCCTCTTTTTTTTTTAAACATTGCAATTTACACTTACTTGGTTCCAGGTAAGCAGGACTTTTGCATAGAATCCACTGTGTACCGCAGAAACTCATGGGCGTCCTCTTGGCTTCCATAGCGGAAGTGCTTTGCAATCCCTGTGTAGAAAAAAATAGATAAAGCAGGGAGAGGTGTGAGTGTGGTAAAGGAAACCACCTTTAAAAGTAAGTTTAAACTTCTTTAAACAGCAGTTTAAAGAAGCAGCAATGATCTATTATCTATACACCGCTTAATCCTCACTAGGGTCACTGAGGGAGCTGGAGTCTATCCCAGCTGACTCAGGGTGAAGGCAGGGGACACCCTGGACAGGTCACCAGTCTATCTACCAGTCTACATTTACAAATGGACAATTTAGAATCACCAATTAACTTCAACATGTTTTTGGACTGTGGGAGGATGCCGGAGAACCCGGAGAGAACCCACGCTGCATGGGGAGAACATGCAAATTGTGTCCTCAGTGTCCTCACCGGGACGTGAACCCTAACTCTTCCAGCTGCGAGGCAACGGTGCTAACCACCGAGCCACCTTGCAGCCCTTTGCCAGAAGATTTCCCTCCAAAACTAAAGAGGTAAACAGTCAGACAGCGCCTCCTATCATTCATTTCAGGTAAAGATTTTGAACAGGGGACAACTTTAATTCTCTAGCTCAGGGGTGTCGAACTGCGGTCCTCGAGGGCCGCAATCCTGCATGTTTTAGATGTCTCCCTCTTCCAACACACCTGATTCAAATGATCAGCTCATCATCAAGCTCTGCAGAAGTCTGATAACGATCCTGATCATGTGAATCAGGTGTGTTGGAAGAAGGACACATCTAAAACATGCAGGATTGCGGCCCTTGAGGACCGGATGTCGACACCCCTGCTCTAGCTGTACAGACATCCACTTACTTTTGAGCTCGTTGAGCACACCAATGGGCTTAATGACATTCCCAGAGTTGGCAAAAACTTGAATGATGTGGTTTTGCATGGTGCACATCATACAGAACCCTGGCTCATGACCTGTAGCAGAACAGATGGACAAAACACTGATGAGTAAGACATGATTCAGGCAAGACAGCAGCTCATAGATACTGTTGAAATGATTGAGAATGATGCGATAATTATTGCATGGCTGTACAACTAACCAAGACTATCTCTGGTGCGTAAAAGTGGCATGAAACACTAACTTACATGTTTTGGAGTGTTCCCGCGTCAGCATGTAGTTTGCTAACGGAGGGGTGTAGGTGAGACACTGCAGAGCTGAGTTGAGGAAACAGGTGTTCCCCATGTTCTGCAGGCCTGCACCAATGCGGTGAACCTGGGGCCACTTTAGGACGAGCCGCTCTGGAGAGAACAGGACCTTCTGGGGCAAGTCAATTCCATCGCTACTGCTTATCACTGGACACACAGAGAGCCACAATTATTACTAAAATTAGATTCAAAGCATTTGCCAGGTCATAAACAAACATAAACAAATAGCTGTAATATGCTATATTGCTAAAGTAAACACATACTAGCACACGACAATGGCACAATGGGACTTACAGTAATAGCTATCACTGTTACATAATGTGATTCTGACATCTGACTGTAATATAGGGCGAACTAGAAAAGACATGATGGAGTTTGTTCTCCCTTTTGTTTCTGCTAAACAAGTTGGGCTGCTGATCTTTATATCAAAACACCAATTGCGTCATAAGCTCAAGTGATTGATCATGCTCTCGCTTCAAAACTGGCTGGGTTATATAACTGGATGAATGAAAGCAGAGTGAAGCCGCAACACAACACCCACAAAAACAGTTGTGTCACACTCTTGTGCAAAAATAGTAGCACAAAGATTAGCATCATTAATGCAGCTTTCACTTAATCACATCATTTACATATAACAGTTCTCTGTTTGCAAATACAAACAATTGGAAACAAACAAAAAAAATCCTGAAATGTGTTTTTTTTATTTTTGGAAAAACAACATGATTGTCTCAAGATAGTCATGTCTGCAAAGTATTGGTTTTGGTCTGCACTTGTTAAAAAGGTGAGAAAAATAGCTAATAGCCACAAATGCATTTACAGTTGGACTGTCAACATAAGTTGAGAAACTTCTTATGTGTCTACTGTATGACGGATAAACGGAGGATAAGACAAACAGCATCACTGGCTGACCCTTTGTCCATACATGATGGAATATGTACAACCAACCAACCAACATCCTTTATAGTTTTATCTCGATTTTCAAGACACATGCATTAAAAAGACAGTTGATAAAAGCCCTCGCTCCTACCTTGCTCCTTAGGCCGCTCCACAGATGAGGGTGTGCTGTTGTAGACAGCAGCTCCAATCGTCGGGCCCAGGCATCCTCCTGGAGCCTTCAGCCTCGGAGAGTCACTGGGCATGGTAGGGCCCACTGCCCAGCTGCTGGAACAACTGCCGTCCATCCCCACGTCTCCACTGGTGAAGGAGGATCGGTTACATCCGACTGACTCGTGGTCAGACTTTTCTGAAGATCTGTCAACTATGGTCATTGTTCATAGCTGTATTGGGGCAGAGACACAGAAGCATACAACTTAATGAGTTATAGCTTGAGCTGCAGAAAAAGGAAAAAAATATTTACAAATTGTTGTTTCTCATTTCTGTTCTAGAGAAGTTTTTATTTTTAATATGTGTGTTTCATTATTATTAATGATAATATTACATAATACTTCATTGCGCTTTTCTGTGCATCGAGAGTAAAACAACTCAATGCCATAGGCAAAACATTACAATGACACTTGAAGTTAAATGCATTGCAGTATTCTAATTTGCTAATTAACACTGACCTCACAACATCACCTTTGCCTTTAGTAAACTGGGATAGATTTCTGTTGTAGAGAAGTTTTGTTTTTAATTTTTAATGTGTCTGTGTTTGGGTGACTGAGCAAAGGAAAATCACTTTTTTATGAGAGACATTTAATGCAATTGTATGTGTAAATGCAATGACAATAAAGTCTTTGATTTGACTTGAACCGATTTGTTTGAATTTAAAGTGAAAGTGAAATACGTATCACTCCACACCAGCTTGGATTAATGATTAACAATGACAAAATAACAATAACACTTATATAGCACTTTGCTGTGCGTTTAGATGAACACAACTAAATGCCACAGGCAAAACATCACATTAATTTGTAGTATACGAATTTGCCAGTTTACACTGACCGCCTACCATTATCTCTGCCTTTAGTAAACTGGATTAGATTATCTGATTTATATTCAGAGAAAAGCAAAAACTGCAACAGAGCTAAAAGCAAAATATCTCTCATTCAGCCTCTACTTATATTGAAATACGAAACTAACTTATCTCTTAGTGAGAGCCATAATGAGCATCTTGCAAGATCCTCTTTAAATACCAAACATCACAAGATACGGGCAGATTTTAAAATCTATATTTTTTTATGTTCAATTCTACCAATTTATGAAACATATCACCAAAATTACTTACCACCAAGTCAACGTTAGTAGTTAAACAACCCGACAGGGAGAAATTTCCTGGTCGGAAGCACGTTTACAACAGCAGCTGTTCCCTCCCACCTGCTCCAACAGACTGCTTCACATTGGCTAATAGACGGTAGCTAGGCCTTTCACACGCAGCGAAGATAAACTTCAAGAAAACACGCACAAAATCTTTTGGTATCTCTTGTAGGAGACCGAGCAAAAACTAACGGTTGTTCCACTTGTCTTGTAGGCTCTATGTCGTCAGCAGAACATTCCAAAAGAACCCGACACGTAACACACAGCTAGCAAGCGCAGCTAGCATTACGTGCGGTGGCGCTCGTGCGGCAATATTGTTGCTAATGCGGCTAGCTAGCAAGCTAGCTCGGCACGATGGACGCGGGCTGACATGGCGGAGGGAAACACAGCTAATGACTGGGACGTGTGGGAATAGTTTTTTGGTTTCACTTTGAGGTACATCTGATTTAAAATGGGTGGGCTGTGAGTAACGGGACGTCTAGCTAGAGGAGAAAGGAGGGGCTCGACACCGGCGGCTGTGTGTGCTCACTGCGCCGCTCGCTCCGACATGACATAGAGAACCGGTGTAAGACTACTACATCAAATCAGAGCGACCCAGACCCTCCGAAATATTACGGCTGCACAGTTAAAGTGACACTCGACCATAAAAGCATCACAGCACTCACCTGGAATCTGTTATGAATACGTTAATAGCGGTTGTAAATCCATTCCTTATTTCCAGCGGGTGTCCGGCGGTGAACAATGACGTAGCTAATTGCCCCACGGGTACATCCGGGTACCTGCGATGAAACGAGGTCTCTGATTGGCTCAATCGGCCGTTTCTCTGCGAGGAACGTGTTTCGGGAAGATCCGTCGCATGTACAAACCCCTGACCTTTGTGTACATGATGTACAGCCCACATTAAGAGCTTTATACCCACAAAGCTATTCTATAAGTGGTCCCAGTGGCTAAAACTAGACCAGTCAAACTGAAGCAATTGCTGTTATTATTATCTATGCAGAAAAGCCATAATCTAAATAATTACTCTGTGCTCAAAGCCTTTCCACTTTTAGAACTTCTTAAAATTCAACAGTGTGCGTTTCCTACACCAATTACACAACATATGCAAAGTTTAAACATGCATGCATGAAAATACAAAAGCCTTTGTTGGAAAATCTAAATTGTAATTCTTGTGATGTCCACAGTTAGTTGACAATTTGCTAAACCTCAGAATTAAAAAGTTGTGCAAAACATAATACACTTTGTCAGTTCTACTTCAAGGTCAACTTGGTATACATGGCATAGGTTTAAAGCAACACCTCAAATGAACCCTAGTCACAGATTGCTTCTTTAGAAATCCCACCAGATATATCAGAAAATTATTTTATTGAACAGCTGCATGAAGGAAAATAATTGCACTCCATTATCCAGGTATACAAGACACACTTAAATGTTCACACACACACACACACGCGCGCGCTCATGCACTCCGCCACTTGTACTGAGTCAGCAAGACAAGGTACAGCAGTGCCTGAATAAATCAAGTTTTGAGAGTCTGTTGAGATTTTTAAGGCTCAGGTCTTGTCCAACTCAGAGAAATGAACTGTGATTTGTGAGCTCTGAAGTTGACTGATCTGTCTCCTCAGCTGCATGATCTCTTCCTCCTGCTCTTCAACCCTTCTTTGCAAACCGTGGATCACCTGAAGGGGAAAAAAATACTTGTAAAACTGGTTGCTAATTATGTAAAGGAACTTTGCTACAAATGAGAGCATAATTAAGGCTTCCTGGAGCCGACAAAGACGACTTTCTGATGACATACACAGTGTAGCGACACCTATAGTAAAACAAAAGCTACTCTTTGTATGTAATCCTTAATGAAATTATGATAATGAATAATTGTTTTCAGATTTTACATAACTAATCCCAAATAATTCATTTTATATTGCACAAAAAGTCATGAGCTAAATGAAATATATCCGTTCATCCCTAAATACCGTGTCTTTACTGCAGAAGAGTTCACTCTGTAGAAGCTCGCTGGCCGTAGGTCGAACGCTGGGCTCTTCACTCGTCAGCTTTGTGATGTATTTACTCAAAATTGGCCATCTGTGGCAGAATGAGTCTGTAATTTTCCCTTCTCTCAGTTCCCCAAGGGTCCGGACTCGCTCCATCTCGGTCCCAAAGGGCTGGAATAGCTCCAGAGCCAGCACTCCGATGCTGTACATGTCTGACTGCGAGAGCAACATTGATACAGATACAGCTTATAATCATGTTCAGTGCAGTTGTTACGGCATCACAGAGGAGTGATGCGTTTCAATGATGAAATATTAACGCTGATAAATTATTCATAATGTATATGAATAAATTATGTGACACGAAAAATAAAGTAAGAATTCCAGACAATTGTTGCTTTAATAATGTGCTTACCTTCGAATCATAATGGGAGCCTTTCAGTTGTTCGGGTGCAGCATACACAAAGGTGCCAACACCTGAAGTATGAGAGGAATCTGCAAAATACACAGCAAATGTCACTTACAAGCAGATGATGCCACCTACTGGTGATTCTGAGACATACAGTGTTGTGAGAGGACAACAAGGCAACTGTTACCACAGCAGGGAGAGGTGGTGCTTTTATGGCTGTCCACTATTATGTCCCTGCAAGCCAAACCAAAGTCTCCAATCCGAACATGGCAGTCAGCACCATGAAGGAAAATGTTTCTTGGCTGTGAAAAACAAACAAACAAAAACAAACAAACAAAGGCATAACAATTAGTGTCACTAAGTCTACAGATGTATGTAAAGTCACAATGTTTCATGAAACATCCAGGGCACAAATCAATAATTTAAGGATTTCAGACCATCTAACATTATATTTCTCTCACGTAAAAAGATAGATACTGTGTAACTACAAGGCAGGATAGCTGCTGTACAATAATTCTGTTTCTTTACAGTACATCATGTAAAATTCCCCTATTTAAATGTACAGAATACTGTACTTTATTTACTTCTAAAAAAATCCAAGCATATTAGTTTATTCAAAGCCAGAATTGTTTGGCTTTCCTAAAAGTAAAACAGTGAAGAGACACAAACACTGGAACAGCCAGTTACTACTCTGAAGTGTGTCAACAATCCCCATAATTGGCCCCACATGCAGCAACAAGTTATCAGGCGTAACAGGAAGGCTGTTCATCAAAGTTAAACGCGTAACCATCAAGCCTGCATGATGAAATCAGACTCAAAAGACCAAAACCAGGAAGCAGAAGTAGGTGGTGAAACGACCAAACAGAGAATTAGCTGTCAAGCATAAATTTAACTGACAGCCCTCTGAGAAATCGACATTTGGATCGAGACACTTAAATAATCAGATCTGAATCACCACATATCTTCTGAGAGCCTGAACACAGGGAGCAGGAAAACTTTGATGCCCGGACATGTTAGACGGGCACAAGACACACACAGGTAAGAGAGGTAACAGCATCAAAATCTGCAGCAATGAATTCTACACTGCGATTATGGATGAAGACTTGAGACGCATTGAAGGCCTGTCAAAGAAGTACGGCAACAAGTGTCTTATTGAGAAACAAGGTGGTGCATCTGGGGACGTTTTCTGGAAGGTAAATGCAACAACGCTACTGTCTTTTAAAAATACTTGTAAGGAGCAGAATTTTTTACACTTACTTCACAGAAACAAAAAGTAAATCTGCATTTTACATAGATAATATAAGAAAAAGGTAAAAAGAAAGTACTTTTGCTAGTGTTAAACTTCAACACAAAACTACAAATTATGCGTTACACAGCGTTAAACTTTGTCACATCTTCACTTGTCTTGCCATAGGGCTTCACTATCCTTCCGCTTCATCTGGCTGCCTCTTACAGAAGAGTTCACAGCATGCAGAGTCTGCTGTCAGCTGGGGCAGACATTGAAATGAGGTCTGGACAAACATCAGTACTTTCAGTGTTACATGAGAGTCTTTTGTTTGTTTGATTTAGAAGCTGGCCAAAAATGTTGAATTGTTTGGAAAAATAAATTTCAGCTGAGGTAGCTGTTTTAGTTAAAACAAATCAGATCATATGTGTTTTGAATGTCTAATTTCATCTTTAGTGGCTTTTCTGTTCAAAGGAAAACCATGTATGTCGATAAGCATGTTGCTACTTCCCTTTCTGGTAAATAAAAGGCCAACACTTTGGCTGTTGTTGCCTCTGTCACAGGGACCAGCTCGGTCGAACCCCACTGCACTTGGTGATAATCGGATGGCCGAGGATCCTGACTACTTGGCCGAAACCAGATTCCAAATTCCAGACTGCTGTGATGGGCATGTGTAGGCAGGCGGAGGATTGTGTAAGGCTTCTCTGTGAGCACGGAGTAAACATCAATGCAGAGGTGATTAACTTTTCCTATAGCAAATCAATATCTAGCCTCTATACCACTCCCCTGTCTGTGAAATCCAACTGGTACAAAGAGTGTCCATCAATGCCAGAGTTAGTTCACTTCCCAAATGGACATTCAATAACTAAAATCGCTACATGTTAAAATTGTAAAACTCTGAAATAAAACATGAATTCTGAAAAAGTAATTCTCTTGAAAGAATCTACTCTTCAAATATGTTATCTAAGGTGTTTGTGTTCCTCTCTAGGTAGAGGGAGAAAGTCACCAAACAGCTCTCCACTTGTCAGTACGCTACAAGGCTCTGTCTGCTGTCCAGATTCTAGCTAGCTATGGTGCTAATGTTAATGCTGTGGACAGCAGTGGGATGACACCGCTGCATATGGCTGCAGGGATCCTCCATAAGGATATAGTAGCCAGTTTGATCAGGCAGGGAGCAGACATTAACATGGTTTGTATTATTGTTTGTAAATGTTGTTTAAATCTGCATACAAAACCAAAAAAAAAACAACCTAAAAAACTCCTCTTTTACTGTCCTTTGTGCAAAATGGTAAACAACTGTCCCACATTAAATCTATGTCATTCTTTTTTAAGGGGGTGCAGCAGTCTGGGAACACTCCTTTGCACTTAGCTGTCATAGCATTGGCTACCAAGTCCACAAAAACCCTTGAAGATGGCATTAGCTGCATCATTGAGCTGCTTGAGTCAGGGGCCGAGCCCAACGCAGTAAACAAGGCTGGAACGACACCTCTGCAGGATGCATGCAGCATGGGCAACGAGGAGCTGGTGGACCTGCTGCTGAGGTACGGAGCAAACATCAACAAACTAAGCAAAGCTGGAGAGAACTGTCTCTTCCTGTTCCTGAACCACCTGCCTAATGTGAGGAACAGCTCTCTGTTGCTGAAACTCCTCAGCCTGACTTCTCCGCTCACCATCTACAACCAAAACGGACGCCTGCCCTCAACTCTGACACAACCTTGTTTTGTTAAACAGAGAGAGCAACTACTGACAGTTATTCAGCAGCCAAGGAGACTTCACGATATTTGTAAGAGTGCCATTTTTCTGAAACATGTCCACGGCAGGACAGAAGAATTGAAAAGAGTCATGCCTGAGAGGTTGTATGATTTTGTCTTCAACCACTGGGAGAACACACACAACATCTCCTTTGATACCGACAGCGAACAGGACGTTTTAAATCACGTATTTGATATTATTCCTAGTTGACATTTGTGTGTTAATTCATAAGCTCAACCCTACAGACATATCCTGATCAAATAAAATCAATAAACCTACCTTCAAGTCTCTGTGCATGATTCCCTGCGAGTGAATGTACTCCACCCCTTCAAGTATATGTCTAAGAAGTTTGAGTGTGTGTTCTGCGTCAACACAGCCGTACGGACCTGAAAATGCAAAAGTACAAAACAGCTATTTTACAAAAATGTTGTTTATATATTTAAGAGTACATGTGGAACTGATTTTTAGCACTGAATTAACTGAATTACATCTGTAGTCATTTCTAAATGATGATAAACTGATTAACAATCTGAAGTTGTGTTCTTTTAGTAAATGCAATCTGTACTGAAACTACATAAGGAACGCGAAATGTGTTTAACAATTACATTTTGAGATTTGTCCCTCTTTGGGTATGGAGTTCCTCTCAGAGATCCAGTCCTTCAGTGAACGCTCACATAGCTGCATTTGGATGTAGAGCATCAGGTGGAACTGTACCTGCAGAGCAACATAAATGAAAACTTTACAAACTTCAGTAACATATCTCCGTCACTTAAAAGAAAAAATAAATCACACACTTTACTTCTAGTAAGTAGTAAAATGTGTTGATGGTTATCTTTTCAGCACTGTCTCTTCAGGCACCCACCTCTTTAGAAGGCTTTGCTGTGCGTTTGTCAGCCCACTGCTGACACTCCTTGTCAACGAAGGAGTTGTTGTTTAGTTCGATGCTGCTCCTGTTGGACTCCTCATCTAACGGTGCAGAATTTTCCCAGCCCATGGCAGGACACTTGGAGCTCTGCGGAGGACCCTTCTGTCCCAGGAACACACAAGGGACATAGTTCTCTGGGATGCGACGCATCGTCTTGGGACACACCACCTGGCCCTCCTGGGCTGAAACCAAGGCTTTGACAGGCTGGTTGTCTCTTGGAGGTAATTTGTCAGCTGAAGCAGCAGCGTCTGTCGGTGCTTGACTGAGGCTTTGAAAGACTATAGAGGAGCTGATGCTGCTGTTGTCAAGGCTCACACTAGGACTGAACATGAAAGAGCAGAGATAGATTTAGTGTTGGTAGACAGAATAATGACTATTGTAACATGTACATCCCTTCAAATAGGATAAGAGTAAGCGGTAAACAGTGCTTCAATTTGTATTTTTATTCACCTGCCACACACATTTAAAAAACATTATTTTTCAAGATTCTTTGGCTCTTCTGTTTTTAAATCTACAACACAATTTATATACTCTATATAGGTATAAATATATATAAACATGTGTATTATCTACAAACCAAGTAAATAATAATGTGTCAACTTACATTTTCCTTAAAACTGTTTCATCGTTTGGTTTTCATAATCACAGAAAACAGTCTTGTGATTTATGACTCTGACCTCACCTGTCTTGTTTTTCAGGAGATTCTAGAGCAGGAAGCTTAGACTCAGGATCTGTAACAAAAAAACAGTTTATATACAAAGCTTGTCCACTGTTCATTCACCAATCTCCGTGATCAGAACCTTGATTGACTTCAGCCAAGCAAACGTGTTGCAGGTCAGCAGTTAAATACTCACATGCTGCAGGTTGAACATGTTCCATCCATGCGGTGTGATAGCCCACAACATTAACATGCTGCAGACTGGACAACACTTTGACCTCCCTAAGGACCTACAGGAAAAACAATCAAATTAGGTAAAGAGGGACATGTCACATGTTTGGGTATAAAAAAAGAGGCTCTATTGTTCACTAAAATGCTGATGACTCACTTTTATACAATCATCCTTTGAGACTTTTTTGATGAGAATTTTCTTCATTGCATAATATTGTCCATCCAGTTTGTTTAAAACCTGGAAGAACATGTTAAACAAGTCAAATTTGTACTTTTCAAAGTGTTTGCAAAAGAACTGTACAAATGTAGTACAAACTACAACACAATAAAATACCTTAAAGACATTTCCATATGACCCTTTTCCAAGTCTAGAGGTTTCTTCAAACTCACTGAGATACCGTGATGTCTGCGCTTGAAACAGTCCCTCCTTAGGTCTGCAGGATGGCAAGAAAAGATATTTTACAATCTACTTATACATTCTTTTGGAATATAAAAAAACATAAAAACAACTTTAGGTAGACTCTACCTTAGAGCAGGACTGTGTGTGTTTGTGTTGAGGCGTTGTTGGCCCTGTAAGACAAGACAAAGATCATCACAATGATCGCACTGTGAACACAACAATAACACAAGATCAGTAAGTAAATTGTAAAAACTGATATGTTCAAACACTGTCAGGTAATGTAAAGGAGTGTGTGTATAAACTGGTGGTAAGTCCAGTTACCTGTGGATACAGGGAGGAGCTAGCAGCATTAAGCAGCTCAGTGAAGGCCCGATTGTGCTGGAGTCTGACAGTGCTGAATTCATCACTTATGGCCAAAGGTGAGAGGAGGTTCATGGCAGCTAAACGCTGTCCGATGACTATTAAAGAAGCAAAAAAGGAATTTCAGAACAAACATATTACCCAGAGAAAAGGCTAAACATGTACTGTATTTACAAGTGTTAAACTGGCTCTCAACTCTCAGTACATTTCTACAGTTTCATTTTGCAGACACTTTTATCCAAAGCAGCCTACATCTGAGAGTAGATACAATACAAGCAAGGATCTAGTCAGGAGAAAACAACCTGGATAAGTGCCATACATTTCAGTAAATACCTTTGAACAGCATCCGTGAGCGAGCTGGATTGCTTTCATAGACGAAGCATAAGTGCTCGAGCAGAGATCCCAGCAGAAGGTGGTTGGGGATTGCTGAAGCAAACTCCTGGATGGATGGGTAATGCCTACCAGCCATCAACACCTCACAGTCAGTATCTGTATCCGAAGCTGAGCAAACAAGAAAAGTACAGATAATAAGAAAAACAAAGCAGTTATGACTTATAGTAAAATAATTTACGCTTCTAACAAACTTTCAGTTTTGTTCCTGCATAATTTCTTACAATGAATTTCCTCTTAAGAGGCTGAAACTGAGTATTGCACAAAAAAACTGTTTACACCTGTTATTATTTGTTCTGTATAAAGTATGGCTGTCTTACCTTCTTCAATCACTTTTGCTATCATTTCAACTATGTTTTTCTCTCTTAGGTCCATTTTTCAGTTTGAAAACCCCTTTGTTGCAATATTAAGTACTAAAAGCTGCACTCATGATTATCCCATTCAACTCCAAGGCCAAAATGAGCTCATCTTGTTTATACATAAGGGGGCGTGCACGGCAGTAATGCTTATCTGCCATGTCCAGCGAACACCAGCCCCTCCACCTACTGTCCACATGAGCAGGCTGAGAAGAGAGGCACACTGTGGAAGAGAGGCACACTGTGGGCGGACACTGTGCCAGCAGGGGAAGGAGAGGCCCTCCCATTTTCTCAATCGCATTTCATCATATTGCAGGATGTTTGGAGAAAGATGACCAGACTTGTTTCGATGCACACATTTATTTCTAAACAGAGGATTTAATTTCATCTTACATCCTGAATATGGCACCTCACGACCTGATTTTTATTTTTTTTTTCATCTACAATGTGGCTAATCCTGGGCCATATATCACCACAGTTCAGATTACAAATAGTAAAATCACATGTCAAGTAATGCTAATTTTATTAAAATGCATACTTGCAGACATAAAGGGAGGTCAGGTGAGTACTGTCATCTTTAGTTGCAATCTGAAATCTCACATATACAAACATTTACACAGACATCATCTCAAACTGTGCCGACCCGCTGGGCAGGGGTATCTCTCTCGGAGTTTGGGGGACAGAGTCAAGTCATCGAGGGGATCCAGTTCACCTGCCTTCGTTTTACTATATAATCTGATGATAGTCAGCCCGTCCCTCTTTAGCTTATCTGCTGTGCCGTCCCACATTGTGTTTGCTCTGCCTGTTATCGCTGTTTATACCCTGTATAATCTTGACTGTTTCCCTCCAACAGATGCTTCCTCTGTTACCAAGGTGGCACATGTAGGAGGGTAGACAGTTTGGAGAAACTTGTGGTGAGTGTGAGCTGTACTTGGTATGTATCAAGCCAAAGGAACTAGAAACTAAGAATTAGATAGCTTAGTGTAAACTGGACACTTTAACTGCAAATTAACACACTGCTTTTCAAGTACAACAGTTTATGATGGAACCACTGTTTTTGTTGATTTTTGAGGGGAGTGTGATGACTCTCTGGACAGGTCTATCCCTGTAGGAGTCTGGTGGTCAAAGTTGGGCCTCCCACCAGATAGCAGTTTTACTCAGCAGGTGTTGGATGCAGGTATAAGCCATCCACTGGCTGCTCATCTCAGCCGACTTTGTCCTTCCCTTCTACTATCTGCATGTTTTAGTTTTCTTCGCCACAGTAAACGACAAAAACAACCTCCAGGCAGCAACTTGCCACGTCAAAAGTTCAGGGTTTTGCAGAGGATTTGGAATTTAAAGTAAGGCAGCCCTTGTTGGTGGATTATCCATTTTAATTCAAGTGTTCACCTCCCTGCATGCAAATGTTCTACCATAACAATTCCACTCATCACTATTTAAAGGGAGACACTGGAGTCGCATCCCTTGTTTACTCCCACACAGGATGACTGGGTCAGGGCCAGGGTCTTTTTTTTTTTTTTTACCCCATAGCAGAATGATAGTGTGGTGCAGCCAGGTCATTATGTTCTAAAGAATGGGCTGGCAAAGCGAGACTACCAGACTACTGAGCTGACCAGCAGACACAGAAGTCAGTCCTATCCTACGAGTATACGACTCTGACCACCTCACTCCTATCCCAGGCCACTCATAGGGAAATATCTCACCTATATACGATGGCGGCAGTCTGTCTCTCATTTCTAGCTTCCACCTTGTTTGTTTTTGTCTTGTCTGTACTTATGTTAATTTCCAACCTATTTCTGTAGGGCAAACTTATTTTTAGCTCCAACTCGTGTGTAATCTCCTCTACTTTGTCCAGCCTTGAGCCGGGTTGTAACTAAACATACGGGTGTGTTTGAAGAATTGGAAGTGTAAAGATGATCCTTAGAGGGCTAACAATAAGCTCAAATGATAAACTAATAAATAAGCTCCAGCACACCAACCATCCAGGTGGATATTATGCAAATACACATTAATGCTGGCTGACTATGCATTTTTCCTCCTGATGTCCTCAACCATATAAACAGTCTGACAGAAGTCAACATTAATATTTTTCTAAGACCATGTTTATATCAGGGCGGACACTGCATTTGAATGGGAGGAGAAGGTGTCTTCGAGTCACGTTGGTTTTCACATGGCCCCTAACACCGTAACTACGCCCCTGTAGGACTAAAAAAGCAGGAAGCAGAGCCAAACAAGACTTTCAGCTAATCAAAAGCAGACTGTTTATTCCATTAACGAACCAAGTAATGTGGAATAACTGTTAACCAATGTTTATCTCGTGCTGGTGCGTAAATAGTAATGTTTAGCAGCAATAAAGTTCAATAAGTAAAGCTGCTTACTGTCAAACAGGACTTCCTCGTCCTCTTCGGTTGCCAAACTTGGCAGGCTAACGCTCGTGTCAGCCTCCTGCCTCCGGATGGGTATAAGGTTGCGGCGGAGCGACAGGTTGCTGCTGCTGCCAGAACATTCCTCCGGCCGCAGGAGTCCGGTGTCGGAGGGTGAACTGTACATTTCTATAAGAAAATAATGCCGACTTGACAAACCAAACGCTTATTTTAAAATGCCAGCCAGTGAATTTCAGCTACCCCATATCTGCGTCAAACTACTTCTTCGACCCCGGTGTGTCAATATTTACATCCCGAGAAGCAGAAGGAGAAGCGCTCTGTGAAAAGTCCCACACACTCCGTTACAGCAGTTGACGGCCATGAGCCGAGAGCGGTACAGGGACCGTCTGACAATGTGCCTGCTTCAATTAAAAGAATAACTGATAGAAAAAATGTTGTTTTACTCAAAACCAGGACATAAAATCTACCCAAGAGTTTTATTTTAATATGTATACAATTGTACTGCTTTAAAACACTAATAATAACTCCTAAGTAAAAAGTCGTTTTTTTCGTTTGTTACAGTGTGAAGTAATTGCACACGCGCCCCAACACCTCAAAGGGTCAAAGTTTCCGGTGATGAAATCGGACTAAATTTGAGGCAACAGCTCGGTTAATACTTATTCAAAACCATATTATTTGTTCAATTTGTTGTTACTTTTATATTTCGTGTTCTCTTTTTGTGAAGCTGCATTTACACTGCACGTTTTAGATTACTGTTGTAAAATAACAAAGTGCGCAGTTTTTGCGCATGAGTGATACTCGCGAACAATCTGCGCAGTGCGCGCGGGACAGCTTCAGTTTGTGTTTACAACATGATGTCGTGAAGCGGATTCAGCAAAAATGTCTCCGCTAACAATTATTGAAGAACAACTAGCTGCGTGTGATAATGGGGACTAGTTAGTTAGTAATTAGTCACTATTTTAAATACTTTCGAATATCAAACTGTGAAGACAGACGTGAGTTCCCTCTGAGGATGTCTGATGCGTGGTAAGCTAACCTCCAATGTGTTGTATTTGCATCATGCAAATCTGCACTGTTGAATGTTGATTACACTCAGTCAGTTCTCATGTTATGCATATTAATGTGAACTTTGATCTCATTTCAACCCATAATGAGAAGGTTAAAAAAAGATGTTTTTAAAAAGTTTTTCTAAATTAAAGTCATAGGCTGAAGTAATATGTGAAAGCCCCTTACAGCTTCAAGTCTTATTAAAGTACAGTAAGTCTTTACAAGCTTTACACTCCTGCAGCTGAACTGCCATGCTCTCAGACAGTGGTGGAAGAAGTGCTCTGATCTTTAACTGAAGCAAATATACCAATGCAGCAATCTGAAAATACTCAATTACAGGCCCTACATGAATAATCCTACTTAAATAAAACTACATAAATATTAACAGCAAAATGTAGTTAAAGTATCGAAGTAAAAGTCCTGTTTTGGTCCGTCTGACTGATAAATTATTTTATATATGATTATTATAATAGTACTGACGCGTCATTGCTGCTGCAGGTGGAGCAACTTTATACACAGTTTTATGTACAATCTGACAGATCATTACATTATGATTTGGAGAGAAACGACGTTTTGATATACAAGTCTGTTTTTTTTTCTTCGTCTCATCTTTGAGTTTTGTTGAGATATTAAATTATTTTAACGTCTATTGAAATAAAGCCATGTGAGACTTTTAGAGGGTAAAAAAAAATCACCATTTGGTGGAGCTGTTTGCAGCTTGTAGACATCAAAAATGTGACCCTGAGTGACTCCACAGTGCTTTTTGAAAGTCACCAGAGGCTGCCAAGGCTGTAAACCACTGGTTTAATATTTAACTCTGTGTTCCATTTTGAAAGCTTGTTGTATCATCCATTGTATCAAATCTTAATCTTCAAAGTAACTCAGGAGTATAAGATGCAATATCTACTTCTGAAATGGAGTGAAGCAGAACTGGAAAGTAGCATAAAATAGAAATAATTATATAATAAGTGCAGTGCTTGAATAAATGTGCTTTTTTTTTTTTTTTTTTTTAAGTCGCTTTCCATGACTGTGCAAAGAGTCCTATACATACCATTTGTCAAACTCCAAGCAGGCTGTCATGTGTCTTTTACTCAGTTGCTTCTGTCTAGCCACCATAAACTGTCTAACTGCTATAAAGGCCTGATTGATTAAGTGCTGCTGAGACAGCTGTTCCTCAGGCCGGTGCTTTAGCTCTGCAGAGGACTTCTGACGCTCTGTTAAAGTGACTGCTGGGGTCACTACACAAGGTCACCTCCTTGTTCAAGGACAAACGTGCTTGGTTTATCAGTTTCCTCTGCCCTTGCCCTGATCTATGCCTCGCCACAGTTTTATCACAGAGATTTCTTCTGGGTTTGTTTTTGTCCTTGCGTGGACTTGCTGGACCTTAAATACACAGGTGTGAATTTTCTAAAATATAAGTTCTATGCAAGTGTAAAGCTCTACACACATCTCCTAAAAAGTTAAAGCAAACAGGATGTACATGACCATAGCCTGGAGGGGAGTGAGAGACTGAAGTTTGAGAATTTGTCCTTTTAAAAAACAGCAAAATCTGCAAAAAGTCAAGGGCTCCAAATACTTCCTAAATCCCCTGTATACTAAATGCCAGAATTACAGAGCCATACTGTAAACCAATTTTGCAAGAAATATGGTATCTTTATTATTTAGTAAGACATCACATTGTATCATTGCTGTAAGTCACACAATCCTTTTGTATTCAACATATATCAGAAAACAAATGTCTAAGGAACCTATCAAATCTTTTGTCTAGTGTGAAGTACATGAATAAATCTGTTGGTTCCATATAAGAAAGTGATGTTGCACATTCATGTCACTTTTTCTTTTCAGCAGCTCTGAACCTGCTGGAGCCATCAAGGCTATTGACAAGCACTCGGTGCATCAGATCTGCTCAGGGCAAGTTGTGCTGACTTTGGCTACTGCTGTCAAAGAGCTGGTGGAGAACAGCATCGATGCAGGAGCTACCAACGTCGGTAAGCAAAGAAATGCGTAAAGTTTTTTTTCTAGGACTCTAGTTGTCTTTTTAAAAAGCTGCAACATGTAACAGGGATATCTGTCAGCTGATAAGGTTGTGTTAGAATGACAATGCGCTTTGTCCATTGAAATAGAAGACATCAATTTATCTAAATAAATTGAAAATGGAGATCAGTTGGAACAGAGGTCCACCTGGAAGTAGCACAGGACCATTGCTATCTATCTATCTATCTATCTATCTATCTATCTATCTATCTATCTATCTATCTATCTATCTATCTATCTATCTTTTACTAAGCTATAAGGATTTATCTGTAAAATATGATTTAAAGGCGTCATAGTCAGTGCTGTTTTTTTCCTTACAATTCTGCATGTTACAGATGTCAAGCTGAAGGAATGTGGAACTGAACAAGTGGAAGTGTCGGACAATGGCAAAGGTGTAGAGGAGGCTAACTTTGAAGGACTGAGTAAGTGTCAGCTTTGTATATCTCCTCTGTAAGGCCAATAGAGGCGTATTCATGAAGGGACATCTTCTCTGTCCCTCAGCTCTGAAGCATCACACGTCAAAGTTAAGGGATTTCTCTGATCTCATCCACGTGGAAACATTTGGCTTCAGAGGTGAAGCTCTCAGCTCTTTGTGCGCTCTGAGGTAAAACACTTCAACAGCCACATTTATTCTGCACATACACTATTTGCCAGCTCATCGGCTAAAATTACTTTGTTGCAGTGACCTGAGTGTTATTACGTGCCACGAGTCCAGCCAGGTGGGCACCAAGCTCGTATTTGACCACAGAGGCCACCTAGTGCAGCGCTCGCCTCATCCCCGACAGCAAGGAACCACAGTCAGCCTGCAGCAGCTCTTCTCCACGCTGCCTGTACGACACAAGGAGTTCCAACGTAATATCAAGAAGGTCGGACATTGAAGCATTGTTCTCTTTTTGCATGCTTTAGCTCCAAACACTGTTTTTTTTGGTTTAACTGTTTCTATTGTTCATGTTTACATAAAAAAGCTTTGTGATGACTTTACATTTCATGATCCATAACTGTTTATATTTGATTACCGGAGAAGTCAGGCATTTATTTTCTGATGCGAAGTTAGATGTTGAAAATTTCGGAGCTTTCTAGATTTTGCAAGCTGATTTTCATGGAACCCACTAGATGTCAGGAGGTTAGAAAAAGCAGATTAATCATCATAAAAATGAAAATGGTTGGCAGTAATGTAACACAGTGAACCAGCAGGAACATACACAAACAGTTCTGCAGTAAAATGATTCTCTCCGAACATAAATAACTTCCTATGTATGTACCAACAATCTTTGAATGTATTACTTTAGAGTGAATCAGGAGCTAGTCATTAATGTCATTTGTTTTTTTTATCCCAAATACGTAACTGTGTGTTTTCTGTTTGATTGTGTTTTCAGGAGTATGCCAAAATGGTCCATGTCCTGCAGTCCTACTGTATCATCTCCACAGGAGTGCGAATTACCTGCTCCAACCAAAATGGGCAGGGAAAGCGCAGCACTGTCCTCAGCACCAGTGGCAGCCAAAGTATGAGAGACAACATCGGGGCAATATTTGGTCCAAAACAGGTGGAATCTTGTTTTTTTTTTCTTGACCATATGGGGTGACACACTCTCCTCCACCATCCGAAATTGTTGCCAATAATTCAGTAAAACTGTTCTCCTTTTATCCTAATACAACAGAAGCATAACAGAATTTTCCCAACTCTTAAGACAAATATGCTATTGTTGATATTTTATTATGTATTTGCTAAATTTCTATTTAATTTTCCATGACTTGACGTTGGATGTGTATCCTGCAGCTCCAGAGCCTCCTGCCTTTTCAGCAAGTTTCTCCTACAGAAAACATTATTGAAGAATATGGACTCCAGAATGCTGATCTACCCAAACAGCTTTTTTCGTAAGTAGCACCATTTCATGCGAGTCTTGTATTCCTTCTTTTTTTGTATTTTAGTTTTAATAAATGAAAACTGTTTGGGCAGCATCACAGGGTTTGTGTCTCGCGGCGACCACGGTGTTGGGAGAAGCGCCACAGACAGGCAGTTCTTTTTCATTAACAACCGGCCATGCGACCCCGTTAAGGTAATTCATGTTGATTGGATTTATCTGGAAGTATCTGGGTTCATGTTTTCCAATTAAACTCTGATTATTCCTACTCTGCAGGTGACCAAAGTTGTGAATGAAGTCTATCATATGTATAACAGACATCAGTATCCCTTTGTTGCCTTGAACATAGCTGTTGCTTCAGGTAAGAAAATGTATCAAACTGGTGTTATTTTTCCAAAACACGTGTTTTTCTGTACCACTTGAGTGTTTCTGTGTTATATTTTTCAGAGTGTGTGGATGTGAACGTCACCCCAGATAAGCGTCAGATTTTCCTTCAGGAGGAGAAGCTCTTGCTGGCTATCCTAAAGACCTCTCTCATCTCTATGTACGAGGCTGGAGTCAACAAGATCAGCCTGAACTACACACCTCTACCCAGCACCTGTAAGAACACTTCTAGTTCTAGGAAATAATTCTTATTTCTTACAGTGCTTTCATTTTGACTGTTTTGCACTTTTTCGTAGATGCGACATTTACGTCTGAACGGAGTCAAGTCGTTCCGTCTGAGAGCAAGGCAGAACCTGGAGCGGACACCCAAACAGTGACTCCGAGGCCAAAGTCATCCATGAACCTGGCCAGTCTCAAAGCTGCCTTTTCAAGTCATTGCAGCTCCAGTTCTGGGAGCAAGTCATGTTCAGAAAAAGCTTCCAACAATGGCCCAATGCAGAAAACGCTGCAGTCTTTTTTTAAGGATCCTGTAAAACCTTCTGCTGGTGTGAAATCACCCTCAAAACCTACAAGAGAGCTCGCGAAAGGCTCTCCGGTGGGAAAGTCGGCTTTAGATGGGTTTAGGTATGGAAGGAGCAGTGATACAGATTCTGAAAAAGACAGTGCCGTGCCCAGTTGTGGTGTTACTATGGCAACACCAGATATTGAGTGTACTCAACTGAAGGTCAACTCACCTGAAGAGGTGATGGACAGCGGCAGTGTAAAAAATGAAGCAATCAAAGAAACATCAGACAATAGTGACACTGTTCCCGAAGACCCAGAGGTACAAACTGAAGCATTGATTTCTAATGAGGACTCTACTGTGAGCCCAGAGGCTAAGAGAGCCAGGAAAGATACTCCACATTTCCCTACAGAACAAAAATCCAACGCTTTTATAAACTGCTCTGAGGAGTCTTCCTCGATGGTGGATGCCCCAGTCTGCATACAGAGGAGGACGGTGCCTCTCCGGTTTTCTTTACAAGAGCTGACAGGAAGGATGAGGAGGTTGCAGGACCAACAGAAGCAGAAAGCAGACGGGGAGTTACAATACAGACGCTTCAGGGCTAAAATCAACCCTGGAGAAAACCAAAGTGCAGAGGAAGAGCTCAAGAAAGAGATCAGGTAGGATTTTACTTCTGTAATTGTAGTTTGCTGAATTTACTGTTACTACAATGTTATTTCCAGAACAGTAAATTTTCTACTTTCCCTACAGTAAAGAAATGTTTAAAGAAATGGAGATCATCGGTCAGTTTAACCTGGGCTTCATTATCGCCAAACTCAACTCGGACATCTTCATAATCGACCAGCATGCCACAGATGAGAAATACAACTTTGAGATGCTACAGCAACACAATGTGCTCCAAGGACAGAAACTCATTGTGTAAGAATTTAAATCCGGACATAAAGATGCATTGGATTGTTTAAAGCAGCCTTTTTAGTGATCTATTTGTGTTTTTTCCTTTATGTTTTGCAGTCCACAGAAACTTCACCTCACCGCAATCAGTGAGAATGTACTCATAGAGAACATTGAGATTTTCAGAAAGAATGGATTTGAATTTCTGGTTGATGAAGATGGTACGATCATTTCAACAGATTGCTGATTTTATCTAAGCAATTATTTCCTGTTTTAATCATGACAAATACTAAACTAAGATTTCATTGTGACTGCAGCTCAGGTAATGGAGAGGGTTAAGCTGGTGTCGCTGCCCACCAGTAAAAACTGGACGTTCGGCCCTGCTGACATCGAAGAGCTGATCTTTATGTTGAGTGACAGCCCGGGGGTCATGTGCCGACCATCCAGAGTCAGACAGATGTACGCCTCCAGAGCTTGTCGGAAATCTGTGAGTTCATATCAGTAAAAGCTCAACCTTAAGTATTCAAAGATATAAACTCAAATCAAGTTTCGCCTGAAGTTGGGAGTCAGCAGTCTCGTCTTGACTATTAGTGGTTACAAGATCATACCAGTGTTTCTGTGTGTTTAGACAGTTTACTATAAATCACTTATGCTTTTGTAACTTTAGTTGCTACAGGTCAATATACAACAGAGTTTTTCTTTTACACACACATTGATTTTTCCATAAATTCATTGCGCTTCAAAATTAAACAATCGATATAATATACATTTTAGTTATATTCAGCTATGTAGCTGTGTGTAATATAGTCATGTTTGTTCTTATTTAAATTGCCATTGTAATACTATTATTTGAGTGAAAAAAAGTAGACATGTAAATACCACAAGTAACTTTTGAACCTCTGCAAATTAATGATAATATTGCACTGACATTAGTGGAAACAAATGGTGACGTAGAATTTGTTCCTGCATAGAGGGATTAATAGCATCCCCAAGAGGTTTTAGCTAGTCTGAAAGGAGAATCATCAGCCCTAAAATGATATAAACTTTAAATGCAACCTGCCTTTCAAGTTTTTAAACAAGTTTGTAGTTTCAGACTGTGATAGCCCTCTAAATTTCACTGTTGTTCTCAGTGAATTGTGTAGCTTCTTCTATGTTTTCGCAAAGTTCCTTTGTGATACATTTTCTATTGTTTTTACTCGTGTCCGCCTTCAGGTGATGATCGGCACTGCTCTTAATGTCAGCGAGATGAAGAGGCTCGTGGTTCACATGGGGGAGATCGAGCATCCGTGGAACTGTCCTCACGGCAGACCAACCATGAGACACCTCGCCAACCTGGACATCATCTCACAAGACTGAGCCTGTAAAGGATGGAACTGTCTGAGAAGCTTAGTTTACACTAGCGTCATACAACCGGAGTGTGTCTTTGCTCCAGTTTGCTTCTGTCAATCGTCACCATGGCTGATGCTGTAATACACAAACCACTACTACTGTACATTTGCATGGTTCAATGCTTCCTGTTGACTGTTTTTCTTTTAATATGTTCTTATTTTATTACATTTTTTGCATTCCATTGTATTTTTCTATTTTACAGCAAGCTCATTAGGAAATAAACAAGAAGTACCTCATAAATATGCATTCAGTTTCTTTCCCTGAATATTAAATCGCTGGCGGTGTAGTTATTTATTGTGTTGCGCTTTTTTGGCTGACTGAGGCCGCCGTAGTTGTCCTTTGCCGTTGCCATGGAGACGTGTATTCTCCGACCTGCTTGTACGTGAGATACAGAAACAACAAAATGACAAAGGAGAAAGAAACAAAGACAACGGCGACAGAAAATGAGACAAAATACGGAACAGCGGAGAAGTCAAACACAGCGGAAGAAAGAAGAAGAGAAAAGTTGGTGAGCCGCTCGGAACGTTTAAATGTGAATTCAAGCGACCAGCTGGTTGGTCCCGACAGTGATGAGCGACCCGGGAACGATGGCGTCTATGAGCTCCCCGCACTTCCTTTCTTAGCTGTCCAGAGGTAACTCATTATCCACAACATGATTTAGCGGCAAAAACCTCTTTTGCAGCACTCAAATGTTACTCATTACCAACTTAGACATAGCGGTGTAAAGTAACTAAGTAAATGTACTTAATTACTACACTCAAGTGCAATTCAAAGGAATTCAAGTGTTTACATTTTTTACCACCTTCTACTTTGGCTCCACCATATTTCAGAGGAAAACATTTTGCTTCTATTCCACTATACACAGCTGTAGTTACTTTACAGCACATTATGACTTTAAAAAAAAACTATCAGGATATAATATTTAATATAAAATACAATAAACTGTTATACAGTAAATGATGTCACCTGACAGGATATAAAATGAGTAGAATGACTGTTGCTTGCCTGTTCGTTAATGCATCAGTAATCCAGTCGTGTATTTAAGTTATACAAGAACTAATATCACAAATGGAAAGTGTCTATCAGAGTTGTAATAAACCATACCAACATGTACAAGACTTGTGCCTTTCAAAGATAAAGCCAAAGATTTAAAGTCTCTCCATCTTCTCTGGAGGTTAGAGATGAGACACGGTTTTAAAAAATCATCAACATAGTAAAACCTGTAAAATATAACACATCCATAATAATTGCACACTGACATCCATTGTGGGCAGTAATGTGTAATACACTCTTTTATATTTGTTTTGATGATTGTACCTTTAACCAAGTATTTTTGAATTGTGGCACTGCTTCATCCCCTTCTATCACTGACTAAATCTACAAATGAATGAATTTTGTGTGCAGTTTAGCGTACATAACTCCTACTGTCTCACTGACAGATACGAAGGGGAAACCTGTGAAGGGCAGTTTCATGGAGAAGGTGCTGCTTGTTTTGAAGGAGGCCATATGTACAAGGTACAACTGTTAATAAGAGGCCATATTAGACTGTTACAATACAAAAATTGCATACCTAAATGCCTGAATGAATACTGTATTGTACTGTTGAATATTTAGTTAATTTACATAAATGGAAAATGTGTGTGATCACCCTTAAACTTGAAGTTAAATATATTCAAACTGCTGCAAAAGTATTGCAGTGACCAGTGATGTTGAAATTGCAACAAACCATTGAACAAATATACTTTTCTATA